TTCTTAAGTGTTGGCCATTTCAGTCAACAAAATCCTTCCTATGTTGATAGCAGAAAATCTCAGCTATTGTTGGTTATCGTCCCTAATGACTAGTTAATCAGTTTTGTGAAGTTAGCGTTGCAGACCCCTTTGCTTCTCTCTTTGGAAAAATAGGAGTAATAGGGCATTCACCAAAAAGTAGACTATATTAGGCTGAGTTGTCTCACATCCAAACGCAATATTTGTTAGTAATTTTTGTGAAAATAAAATCTTGTTAATGCCCTAAGAAGTAATTGTTTTTGGCTAGCTCTTTGCATGGGTTATAGTCAAAATTCACAATCAGTTCAAAATTATGTTACCGTTTTTTCAGATACTAAACATATGCTGCCTGCATCCTCACCAAAACAAAGAAAGTGGAGCACATCATCCCAGTGTTAAAATCGTTACACTGGCTAGACTTAAAATACTTATATTGGTCTATAAATCACTGAAAGATTTAGCTCCATAATACACAACCTATAACCCCTTTAAAGGTTCTCGATTGAAAGCTTAGCAGCAGAATTAAAATGACCTGTAAAAAGCCAAGCAACAGGGAATAAATTACAACAGCTGTAAATTCCGTACGTAGGAAAAATAATATAAACAAAAAAAAAAATAATTCCATCCGAAAACAGTCAATAAAGCTACTGATGGAGGCAAGAGGTGCAACATATGATGGAAATACTTAATAGGAGTTCAAGATCAACCAAAATGACGTCTCCTTTTAATACACAAACACCTGTTTACTATACATCTTCATACCATTCTTTCCCATCCCTTCATCACACTCTCCATCTCTAAAATATTGATGGCAACTCAGATTTAATGAGGTCAGACAGATCCAAAGCCAGTTATTATACATATAGTGTCATAACAAAGCCAAGGGGGTGCAATGGAGTCAAATGAAAGCAAGTCTTACTGTTAAAGAAGTTTGGCTGGACTTTCCATCCATTTTCTGTTCCAGATGTTATTTCAATAGAAGCTTGATCTGTGGCTGTTCTTTTTTTTGATGAAATGACAAAAACAATTAAGCCAGTGTCCTCTAGATGATGAAATGTCAGCAAGTATTGACTATTAGAAAAACATTTTTATTTATAATTGCAGGGTTGCATAGTAGATAATGATTTAGCCTAACAAAATGGACAGTTTACCTATTTAGTGAAAAACTAGGTTTGTACCATAGAGAAGAGTAGAAATAGGAGAAATATGGGGAATGTGACATTTTCTCCCAAGTCACTCAGACAAAGGAGTTAAGTACGGAATTCTTCGTATGAACGGTTCTTGCGTGAGGCCCATTGCTTTTTAAACCTTTATAGCCCCAACCAAATAGTCAGACATTATTATGTTTGCATAGACAAGGTTACTATGCAGACCTTGTGTATGCCACAGTATTTAAAGTAATCTTTATCCCCTATCAAATGGCCCAAACTTTAGATTGAAATATATTTTGATTATCTATGTGTTTGCTTTAAATAACCATTTGGCATCACTGTCCCGTTTGAACACCCAGTTGTGTTTAAGTTCTACTTGGCTGTTCAAAGTTTTAATATAGAGTCCTTTCTCATTTACCCGTCTCATTAATGCACCTGAACTATTGACTACAACATATTCCACATCATGGTCATACCACCACCTTGCTTAATAGCTGGTCAAGATTGCTTCAGTTTGAAAGGCTGACATTAACTCCTCCATTTTTTTTATTTTTTTAAAGCTGTTTAAGGTCCACCTGCAACTGTTTTTCACTATCCATAAAACAAGGTCAAACATAGCGATGGTTTATAATTTTTTTTCTAGATCTCTGAAGGAGGATTGAGTTTTATTCATTTTTGAAAAACAGCAACAAAAACGTTTACAGCGGTTTAAACACATCAGATTCTATTTAAATTTCCACTAAACATGGAGGACTCCACCAGCAAGAGAATGATTCGGGACACAGACATGTTCTCTCCTCACCCCCGTATGGCGTGTATCCTTGGGAACTATCTAATTTCACCTTGCCAATGACCTATTGAAGGTTTTTGGTCAATGTTGACTAGTGATGCAATTTCTATGCAAAACAGAGGTTATAAAACTGGCAGTCATGGTTTGCCTTAGTCACTGTTTTGGTACATTGGTTAAATGCCATGAGAAAAGGCTATGTGCTATGCAGGAGGAGTCCTACCGTTATATTATCAGTTCAATCTGAAAAACTCACACAAAGAGAAAAGAAAATTAGGAGGAATTTATTGATACAATTACTTGTCTTTGGCACTCAGACCTTGGCAGGAAACATAGCGCTTAATTTTGATAGATATGCATGAACAGGGGCAAAGAATGGGTCTGTTTCGCCCCCCGGGCCTGGTGGTGGAGTTGAGATAGAGAAGTTGGTCAGTCTGTATACTGGTGGTTAGCAAGATGGTATAATGATTAAAATGGGGCGATCCAGTGGATTGCATGAGCTGATACTAGAGCTTCACTCAGGTACCTGGAATATGGAAGTCCAGTTGGATAACACAAGTTCAGAGAACCTGTCCGTGATGAGCAAGCATGAAGCAACAGTGGAGAGGAAAAACTCCTCGTTGGGAAGAAACCTCTGGCAGAACCAGGCTCAACATGGCGGTCTTCTGCCGGAGCGGTAGAGATGAGACAGGGAACACAGTAAGAGTCCAACAGGAACGACATCAGATGAAACTTTAGCTACGATGTTGGAGGAGGGGCTGGAGGTGGGTTGAGACGGTGTCATCTGGATGAAGTCACACAGTGCATCTGCCGTCTGCGGACAGGAGTAGACAGTGTGGATCGCAGGCCTTTTAAGATGAACTTTGGATGCCGATTGGCTTTCATGGAGGTGTGGTTCAAAGCTAATTGGCTGTCGCAGGTGGATATAGGAGAGCAATGAGTTTCTTCAGTTGAACTTCCACCTAGGCTCCATTTATAATAAAGATAATTTGAGGTGTTTCCTGAATTTCAAAATTATTTATCACGCGGTTTTGCACTACTTGTTTAGAATAAAACTTCACATGAGAAGAAAAAATTTTTTGTTTCTTTAATCACATGTAAATCAAATATACTAACAGTTGAGACAGTTGTTCCACTGGAAAAATAAAAACCAAAAAAATATTTATCTCTACCTTTATGCTGATGAAGATTCTCAGTCATCCAGGTCATAGTCATTCCGTAAAAAAAAAAATAAAAAAAGTAAAATCCACAGGACTTGATTTCCAAGATTTAAAAACGTTTCACCACCTCTCCAGGAAGCTTTCTCAATTCAAATGTCTGGATCCGCAGTGAGTTTGAGTCTTATATAGACAAGGCCTTGTATCACTTGGTAACATGCAAATGGTAACTGATGAATGGGTCGTTTGGTTCCATCGTTAGCCTGTAATATCTGAAACCTGTCTACCTTTACAAAGGCAGTGGGAGTTCTCATTTAGACCTGATAACCATGGAGCTCTTCTCGATTTTAAAGGTTTTGAGTTGTGTATTTTTAGGTGAGCATTGCTTCCATAACCCTCATAGCTTTGCAACAATTTCTTTTTCTTTTTTGTCTTGTCCTTATAGGTTTTCTCCTGCAGGTATGTTCATGTTACAGTAATAATGCATCAAAGTTGGCCAAACAACAGCGTAATATTGAGATTGCAGGGTGATTTTTGCAGATCTCTTAAGAAATGTAAGATTGTATGTGCTGTGACTCTGTACCTTAGAAAGGTGAAAGTGTCTGCCAACGTGCCAGTTGAGGTGTGCCTACCCCTCCCAGCTTTGAGGTTTGAGGTGCTTCTCCTCTATAACCAAAACAAGCTGAGAAACATTACGTTGGGAAAAACAAGGGCACACGCCCAGAACCACAAACACATAAACACAGATCTGAAACATGTGATCTCATATGGAAAGAGAGGGGGCACATTCTGGGGCACACCCAGATCCGTCGCTGCTGCTTCTTCTGCTGCTGCACGGCTCTGCCACCTCACACGGGACTTCCCTGTTGCTGATGTGCCAACTCCACTGGTTTCATTTTAAGAGATGCTGGGTTTTAGTCACAGATGCGTGACTTTGGGGAGATAAACTTGACTTTTAGGAAGTGTTTGGCAGGATGTTAGCAAATATGTATGTGCAGAAAAATGCTATCTGTGAAAGCCAATTTCTGGTTTTCATTTTATCTCCATCTAGTCCATATTGGATTTTTTTTTCTTTGTCGCATCTCATATTACTTTTCTTCTATCCATTCCTAATGGGATTTGATATGTTTCTGTAAAAACATTGCCTCCAGTTTGCAACAGGAGGCATAATGCAGGAATCCAGGAAGAAAACGGTTTCTAAGGACATTTAAAGGTGAAAAACATCAAAGTTCCTGAAAGAGAGAACAAAAAACAGAAACAAAAAAAAATGTACTGGCTTTCAATTAAAACAGCATGTGTGCTAAATCAAAACAACATGAAGTAGATGCTCTGCATTGTTCAGGATAGTAAAACTTCCACTCCTAATAAACCTTGCTTACTTCACTTATTGATGAAACAAGAATGATCTAATGGCACAACCCAGCTCTGCGTTTCAACATGTAACGGTTTGTAGGCAAAATGACTCCTTGGCCAAGACATGGAAGAATAATTCAACCATGAGACAAAGAAGGCAGAGAGAATTAAAAACAGAGACTTAAGCTCCCTGGGCCTTTTTCTTCCCTCCAGGCGTTTTGTGGCTTGTGAAAAAAAAAAAAGGGAGAGAAAGAAATATAAATTTGAAGTGCAGAGAGTCACGTGACAAAGATAAAAGGCTTTATAATCACAGTGTAATTATTTCTTAGTAAGAGAGTTGGTGAGTGTGAGTCCTGTGTTTGGGTAGTGAAAGAGTGATTTTAAGAGGTAGCGACTCAGGGAAGGAGGAGGAGGGAGGAGGAGGAGAGAGCAGGAGGGGGAGTGCTTGACGGAGTTGGAGGCTCACTGCCGCTCTGTCTTTGCCGCTGAAGGGACGCTGTTAAATGTGCACTCGTCTTTTTATCTCTTTCATAGGCTCAAGCTGCTCATCAGACCTTTTTCCTCCGCTACGACTTCATCAGATCACCTCCATCACCGCCGTACGAGAGCCTGGGAGAAACTTGAATACAAGTTTGAGGTGAAGCAAGAACTTAAATCTGTTTATTTTTTTTTGTTGCTAAAAAGATGTTTTTGGTTACGGTAGGGATGAAGTATGTTTGAGATCATTAATCATGCTCCAGATTTTCTAAACTGTCCAAACACACACATTTGTTTACCTTCTGTCCTTTAGTTTGTTTTCTTCTAGTTTTTTTCTCCTCCATGAGTGTGAGTGTGACAGAAGTTTATGTGAGAACCACCTCGACCATGTGTGCGCCTGCATGTGTGTGTGCATATGTGCTTATTAGTGAGTGTTACCAAGGGTTCTTTGGAGCTCTTTATTATTAGCATATGTGTTAGTGTGTACATGTTTGCATGTGTTTGATGTGTATTTGAGTCACCACTCTTCGACCCATTCCTTTTTCTCTCTTTTATAAGTAGCATATGAAGACTTGGCAGAGGAAGACATTGTTTTCCATGTTTTTAAACAGCACCGGCTGATTTCTGCAGAGCGAGGTGTGTCTGGGCCTCAGTTTACTTGGAAGTTTATTCATTGTGTTCTCATAGTTTACCAGCAGGAAGATTATTTAATGATGCTGGCGTATGCGGTTGATTAACAGGTTCTGCTTGTTGCAGCCTTTTGCATGTGGATGACAGGTAGGCCATCCGCACTTGCCTTCAGAGTAGCTTTTCCTGGTCGGTGCTTTGATTTATTGCTCCTGAATCGACAGGTCATGGGGCAGACCGTTGTTTCAACTTTTGCACCTGCTATCCAACCCTCATTTCTCCCTGGTGGGTCTGATGTAGATGCAGCATAAAGCAAACCGACCCAGCAAGAGGAATCTTTGTTTGCCCTCTGTTGTCATCTGGACTGGAAGAAGAGCTTTTATATGAAGCGAGGAAATATCACTGCCCTCTCCTCCAATTAACACGAAGGGTCAAGCCAAACAACATGTGCCCAACATTCCAACTTTACCTCTATTTCAAACTATATTAGAGGCAGTTTTTTTTATGTTCCTGATGTGTGTCCCCTCATATTTATTTCAAGCTTTAATGTCCCTCTTGCGATTTCTCTGTACACATTTTAACCACTCACTGTTTCCATAAACGATGTCGCCAATATTGCCAATATTAGATGGACATCTCTGAAACACATCTTGTCGCGGAGTTGTCAAAGCCGTGTAACGACAGTTGGACTACACAAAAGTTTGTGTTGCAAAATCTGCTAACAGGCTTGTCTTTGTAGAGCGGCTCAGTCTGCGGTAAATCAGGGAGTTGTTGATACCTGTCTCTTTCTGGAATTTCTATAGCAATTAAGGACGAGCAGAAGGAGAGGGAGGGGTGAGCCAGGTGATATTGAAGGGGGATCTGGTGGGGGGAGTCAGCCACAACCACACTATAATTAAGGAAACTATTTCCATTTGCTCTGCCTATTTTTGCAGGTGTGCTTTTCTGTTGCTGAGGACATACATTTTCGTTCAGCTCTCTAGCTCCCTTTAAAAGAAACTTAAACAAATATGAACTTGTGTGAGATGGTGTTGTGGTGCAGGTTGCGCTTTCAGGCTTGTGTGTGTCTTTGGGCCTGCTTGGGCTGCTTTTACTCTTGCGGCTGGAGATGGTGGTGGTGGTGAAACCCATCCATTATGCCCTCTTTGATACAGAGAAAGGATTGTTTCCCACCTTCTTTGATTCCAATGTGGGACACACCTCCATAGTTGCCTGTATGAGCCATTCAGAAACTAATTTAGTCACTTCAGACTCTTTCACTTCTAACAAGCAATATTCACATTGATATAATTCTAAATTTCTGCTTTAGGTGTGATATGGAATTCTTAATGTAAAGAAAATACTGTCAAATATTAATGTATTTTTTATGTTACTTGAAACAGAACACAAAGATATTCATCTTACTACCACATTAAGATAATGTACTGATTAATGCTGTCGTATTATTGTTTTTTTTAATAACCTTTTTAGTATTCATTAGATTTTGATTCATGGAATTAATGACAATTATTAATACTTAACCATTTTTAGGATTATCTTTATGCCACCATTTTTACTTGATTTTGCTTTTTTATTTTATCTTGTTTTGATAAAATAAGTGAATATCTAGAACATAATGTAAAAATAAATAATATCCCTTTGTAATGTTCTAATTTTTTTTAGTAATTTATTAGTGCGGCTCCCCCTACTTGCAGCAGTTGGTTACATCACAAACTAGTTTTGGCTTGTAAGAAACAGCAATTAATTTAAAAACATCATGAATGTTGGTAGGATAGCAACAGGAAATTTATTTTGTGATGCAAAAATATTTTTCAAAACACTTAAGCTTTCTCTTTTGACCAAACACCTTGCAAACACAAATATAACTCTAAAATTACTTCTTACCCTTTTAAATAAGCTACGTCAATGCAGTAATTACATTAAGGAAGATGTCAAGCTCAAAGCCCGTTGGCCCAATCTGGCCTGTCTCTGCAATTTATTTGACTCCCAGCATTCAAGAACCGCATATTATCTCATAAAGTAGAAGCCTATTCTCTTGTAAAGGTAAAAAAGTAAAACTAAAACTGCAAAATAAATGGGAATGAATTCATAATAAGAGAACATTGTGCTGTTTGTAAATGAAATGAGGAAATCAAAGATGACATTTGTACAGCTAAAAATGACCCTTTTTAAAATGCTTGATAGTGCCAAAGTGACCCTATATGAAAAATTGACAGCCCTAAATTAAAGAGTAAAATCATTACTTTAATAGCAAAGATTTCATCTTTTTTATTTTTATTTTTCAAATATATTAATATTTAATTATGCTTTTGTGGAAATAACACTTAAAAAAAAACAGTAGTTTATTTGAACAATACAACTGCCCATCCTTGCAGGTATCTTTGGTAAAACAAATTTCAAGTGTATGAACAATTTGATAAAAGACACTTTTTAAAACTTTGACAACAGGGCAGAATTTGCATCTTTTTAAAACAATTGGTATTAATTGACCGTGACCCTCATAACATCTCTTAGTTAAGTCTTTCAACATCCTTCTACAGATCATGGGAACAAGAAGCTGTTATATCTCTAAGTGTTTTATGACTTCTCATTCTTTCCATTTTACTCTCTGAAACTACAATAACAACAAGAATGATGTGACATTTTTAAGTTAAATGATTTATGGACAGCAAGAAAAATATTGCATAATCACACCTCTCAGTGGCAATCTTGAAACCAACTCTGTGAGACCGATGGTCTCCCCATGGTGCCTCTGTTTTATTGTTCCTATAAGCAAATATGTGTTTGTGGGATGGCAGGAAGCAGCAGATGTCAAACAGGTTTCAGGTGAAAGAATGCAGGTCTGTTTGGAAACACTGGACCGTCTGTCACTCTGCGTCTCACTCGGAGCCATTAGGTAGCCCTGCCTGTTGAAAGATTGGAAGCTGTCAGCTCTCGCATCAGATAGTAAGTGACGAGGATATTGTTTTCACTGCCAAAATACTGCTGACGCCAGCAAAGAGATCAGATAATACTCTTGTGATCATGTTTCAGTATAAGGACTTTAATTTTTGTGTAAATCTCTGGTTCTCATAAATCTCTATGATGGCTGTGATGTGGGCTTTTTTTTTTTTTTCAAAAAACGATGATGCCTCGCTTCATTAGGAAAATCCGTGAGTCTGTGAGCTCAGTTCGTAGGACACATGGACTGTGAAATCATTGTTTAACTGCTGTGCTAGCATGACTTCATGTGCAAACCCAACTTAAACATACCCCTCTCTGTTTCAAACAGTTTCCTTCACAATGTCTCTGAGCATAAATCACTCGATGATGTTGACAGTTGGAAGACATGAGTTTGGAAGAACATGCACAGTTTTCTGTCAAAAAAAAAAGAAGTGAACAAAACTAGACAGTGCATTCCCCTGCCAGGATACATGGCATGGTTCATCTTTCTCCAGGCGATGAATTTACAGCTCAGCCCCTTTAGAAAGGCTTTAGAGTTGCTGCTCTGTGCAAATTGGACAGTTTTTTTTTTCCTTTCTATTTTCCATTTAGAAACTCTGTGGCTGTTTCAGCTTGAAACGTGGCAGAAAAACTTGTGAGCTCAATGAGAAACATGGCAGTCGCTCTCAGAGGATCCATGAATATCCACAGAAACCAAGATTAAAAGTTACTATTGTTTGGCGTTCCTCTTTGATGGGAATATGAATCATGCACGGATAAACAAAGCGGGGGATTTTACCGTACCTTTAATCCTGCTGGTATATGCTGGGTAATCACTTGTGGTTTGTTGCTCTGCCTAAAACCAAACGCCTGTCTAGGTGTTTGTGTGATGCAGAGCTTCCTGAGATGCTGTGATTTATTTGTTATGTTTGACTTCAGTTCTTCTTCTTGCCTGAGGGGGCCTCGCTCTGTCACAACGGTTTAGGCATAATTGCTATTTTTCCCGCTTAGGATTTTGTATCCTTTGTTTGACAGACTGTTGGTCTCTGGGAACACTTTTCCCCCTGCTCTGTATGCCTTTTATGCATCATTTTTCTTTCTGCGTCATCTTTTTTTTAAATGTTGAAATCCAAACTCTTGAACAAACAAGAGAATCCCATTCGCGCTGATCGTGCCCCATCTTGCAGCCCTGCCTCCAAATTGCCTTTCTGCTTGATTGTGTTAATTTTAAATGATACATGTCACGTACTGATTAAAAATTCGACGGATCGCCTCCAGTGCAACCGACTACTTCAATCTGATGAGCTGTTGTGGGGTATGATACTCTTTATAGAAACATGCAAAGTAAATTTAAGCGGATCATTTTAGGCAAGGATGGAAAGTCCCTACAGAAACAAACTTACTCAATACTGGTTGTGGCGCTTTTTGCCTGCCTGCCTTCTTTGTGCCCCCTAGGCTTGTGGGGGAACGTAGAGGCCCTCAATGCCCATTTGGCCCTGCCTTAACAGGGGATGAGGTCACTCCAAATTCCCCCTGTCCCCTTCTAGCCCCAGACGGGCCAGCTAAATGAGCCAGCCACAGGACCCGACATAAAACATAAATGACTCTATAAAAAGCTGCCAAGCTGATGTGACTCATTAAAAAACACTGGCGCCAACTCTTTTTATTAATTCATTATTGTGTTTGAGTGGCGTAAAGTCATGCAGTCTTCTTATTAACTGTCGCCCCTGTGTGTCCTAGCTCGTTATTTTTCGGTACCTGCCCTTTTTCACTTTCAGTCCTTGTTTGTTTTTGAGAATTTTAGTGTACAGTGCAGTTGTGGTTACTGGGTGGCACTTCTAGCTCATTTTCAATCAGAGGTTTGAGACTAATATAGCCTTTAAAAAACTGAGCTGCTGCTCTAATCTCCACTGTCAATAGTTATATATCACTCTTAATTTTCTCCTCCTGCTATTTTAAACATATATGATATAAAAGACCTGCCCAACTTTGCTGTTATGTTAGGTTTTTAATGATTGGACATTGAGACCAAATAAAGCTATTTCATATCTGTTTCTAACTCATGTTGCATTTTTCCTCTACTATTTACGTGCAAACACAAATAATCAAATAATCTGTTAGAAGAAAACATTAATAATAACCTGTTTGTATAAATGTGCCCACTCTTGATCTAATACTTTGTTAAAACTCCTTTAAAATCTGATTACCCTCAAGTACAACACAGCTGTCCTAGTAGAGCCTTCAATAGATTTTCTTATTTACATCCTTAAGTTAATGCTGCAGTTATAGTAATGTTCTGATTGTACAAATGTATCTGTCAATAAGGACACAAAAAATAGTATTGGAACTCAATAAGGACAGTAGTCAAAAATTATGGAAATAAGGTGCAGAAGGGAAAGTAATAGCATTCAGGAACACTGAATAAGAATGTTTGGTTATAAGGGAGAATTTGTTTATATCCACTGTATATAATGGATATTTCAAAAATAATTCAATGACCTTTCTAAAAATTAAACAGTCAGAAAACAGAGGGAAGGGGGAAGAATGGTATCAAAGGTCCCAAGGTCAGGAATTGAAGCACCACTTAAAGCAAAATGCTACTGTCTTAGTAACACCTTATGGCAAAAAGTGAAATAGGTCAGCAGAGAACTTCTAAAGAGAATTGCATCGTTTAAAGGTATCAGTCAGGAAACGGGCGCAGAAATAATTTTGATTTATTCGCTGAAAAGGAAGACAATCATTATGTGTAGAAAATATGCAACAATAACAAAACCAATGAAAAAACAAGAAAAAAAAAATACTACTGGCAAACACTGGTGGTGTAGGACACTGCTAGTACTTGTTTGTAATTGTGACAGCAATTACAAACGGGTGGTAACATGAAGCTTGGTTAAATATCAGAAAAACGCTTCTAAAGTCTTGCTAGAATATTAAGATAACTATGCTAAGCGCTTGTGTGAAACATAACTTTACAACATGGGCTGTACTTCAGCATGGTGGTTGCAGCATTATGGTTTGGAGAGAGGTTAGTTTAGCTTGAGCACTTGGCACAAATCTCTCTGGTTTGTGTTATTGGAAACTGAAGAAGAGAGAAACTACATTTTTGCCCAATAATAATCCCAAACATCAAATCATCACAAGAAATGCTTCAACAGAAAACAATATTTTTTTTTTTAAATGATGGGGGGGGGCAAAGAGGGTTGCACATAGATGTTGCCCCAAAAGATTAAAAGGAAAAGGTGCATTGATAAAGAGAAAATCAAAGTAAATGTTGATCAATTTCTTTGTGCAAAGGAAATTGACAAATGTTGATATACAAATAAATTCATTTTAATTCACTGGAATCAAGAGAAGAAAGAAGAGGACATGTTCATGCTATGGGACCACAGTAAATTTCTCAAATTTTCACACATTAAAGAAAACTGCTTATTTAACGGAGGCAGACATCTTTATCTTCTGTATTGTGCTGTCTTATGAGCGCTGCTTTGAGTTCATGAAGCAGATCTCAAAATAGGCCAATAACTTGCAGAGGAAATCCAGTCTGTACATGCACACACACTCACACATCACACACATATATAATGAGCCTGGGTGCTATGTTACTGGCACTTCTCTTTCTCCAGTATATACTTCTTCTCCCATTAGTCCCACTGTGAGATCTTTGCTGATGTTTTTGTGCCTTTGCTGCAAGATGGAACTGGTGCACGGGTTCATTCTTCAAGTTGTAAATGCAGGATAGAAAAAGAGGGAAGTGGAAGAGGGTAATCCAAGCAAGTTTCAGTGATGAGTTTGGAAGCAAGATATCCAGAAAGAAAAGGAGAAAAGGATGGTAGTGTGCGTTGGCAGGATTGGGGGGTGGGTGCCTGTCGGCGGCTGCTTCTTCCTGAAACGTGGCCACCCGAGCCTGCCTGGGCCCTGGATGCACATGTGGAACAGTTTACTGTAATGGAACTCTAAATTAGTGGTGGTTTGAAGCTGCCTGCAGCAGTAGGGTGTAATTAACTGGCTCTGTTGAAAGAGAGAGAGCCAGAAAGAGAGGCAGGGTGGGAGCCAAAGCCCTTGGAAAAAAAAAAGGCATGGGGTGAGAAGTGTGTGTTTGTGTGTCTGTGCCTGAGCTCGCACACACATATGATGTGTGGAGTTTTTTTTGGTTGCCTGATTGCATGTGTATGTGTTAGAAAGTGTGGACTGCATATGTGGAAAGCATTCCCAGTTTTTTTTTTTTTCTTTTTCATTTGCCAGGCATGGCGCCACCCCTTAGTGCCCCCAAGTGCCCAGACCCCGTCACTGTTCCTCTGTGGGTTTTTCAGTATTTTTTTTTTCCACTCAGTTCAGCAGTTCACCAGTTCAGCCTTAGATCTTTTCTCCCCCACCTCCCCCCTTTCATTTCTTTGTTTATACCGAATTCATTACCAAGATTTTTTCCCTGTCTTTTCTCCCAGATTCACAAGCCACAGCAGTCCCAAATTCCTTGGCTCTGCTCTTTTTCAAAGCCACATTTTAAAAAACAAGCTGATCACACCACCCACTCAAGGAATCACTCTGAGGAAAAAAAAAATACAAGTTCTATTTTGTTTCAGGATTTTTTTTTCTCTCCTTGAACTGAAAGTCAACAGTGGGGGCATAAAGTGTGACTATGCCTACTGCGAGCAGTCAGAGTGATGAGCAGCTTGCAGGAGGTCAGAGCCAAAATGACTCTTTGAGACTGGAGCCTGACTTGAAGAGAAGATAGTTGGTAGTGACAGCACCAGTTAGCAATCAGTGGATCTCATTTTTCTCATCTATTGACCCCCCCCCCACCCGCCTTCTCACTCCGGACCCCGTGTCTGGGCCTCTGCTCCGGGGGGAAGAGGCGAAGAGGCAAGCTGCTGTACTAGGCTGGCAGCAGAAACAGAAGAGGTCTTTATAGAAGAGTTCTGGTGATTTAAATCATATGGCATAGCCTGGAATCACTGTAGAAGTCTGGAAACTCTTCACAGCTAAAGGAACAAGCGTTCTCTCTCTCTCTCTCTCTCTCATTCCTATTTATTTCTCCTTTCCAGTTGTCCATGTTAAAACTTTTTTTCAAACGTCTCGGTTGCTTTTTCTCCTTCAGTCCTATTTTTTTTTTAATGTTTGCTCTCTGAGCCCCACTCATTTATTTATTTATTCCGCTTGCCTTTACCAGTTATAAGCTTTACACATTCACCATTTATCAGAGCTACACTAAAAAAATATCTAGAAACTAGTAAAAATGTCTTAAATCTAGTGTATTTAACCTTAATCTGAGCAGGTAAATAAGATGATTTGCCAATTTACTTATTTTAAATGTAAAGTGTCTCACTTACCTCTTAAATTCAAGAAAAACGCACTTATTCTAAGAAAGAAAAAATCACGTATTTAGAATTAAATTTTTTCCAGTGAAGAGATTTTTTTTTCAGTCTCACATGATGTGCATTGAAGTAAACTAGAGATTTTTATCCTCAGATTCATGCTAGATTTAATGAGTATTTATTTTTTTTTTTTTTGAGGAAGTGACTAATTTCTTTGTTCTCTCTTCATCAGAAATCTGACAGGATAAGTCAGATTTCCCCCTGCTTTTCTTCAGAACCTCCCTGCTCACTCTGAGGACGAAGATTCAAGATCAGTGGAGGACTTTTTAAGGAGTGTTGAAGAGCCTTGAAGGCCTGCTGCGGACCCCTGGGTGCTCCGTCAACATGGCTACCAACAGGGAACAGCAGGTGGGTCACTTGACCGGCTTCCCACCTGCTGTCTACCCTTTCCCCTTCAACTCCATGAGAAGCCACTCCCCCTTTGACCTGCTAGCCAACAGCAGCCTTTTTGGGCGATTCGGGGCTGACCTGCCAAAGGAGATGGCTGCTCTCTGTAAGTCATTTTTCATCACTGTGTTTGTTTGACATTTATCATTTGCAAATATCACACAGTGTGGTGTCTTAAAAATGTATTCATACTCATTTTAAAATTCCAACATTGTTTCATTTCACAGTCACCAACTTTAATGTGTTTCATTAAAGGTTTAGTGGAGGATTTTCGCCAATTTTTGAAAAGACCCGCCCTCTCCTCTTTAAAAAAAATGCACATGCATAACCCTGTACCCTCTACCGAGAGAAAACACCTATTAAACACATGCAAGAGCATACACAAGTCCATTTCTCCTTGTACACGCTCTGTTTAAAAGTTGCTGTTTGCAACACTCATAGAATCTTACTTTCCAAAAGAAGATTTGCAATGTTTCCACCATGTCAGACTCACCACCGGTAAGTTAAAATTTGGATGAGCACATAGGACGGCCCTACGTAAACATATCACCAGAATGATTGATAATTAGGAGGACCACTTATTTTGATGATCCACCTGGAAAAAGAACATCCTCCACTATACCTTTAAGTATAAGTATATATATACTAAGTACAGAAGGAGATTGATACATGGCTTTTTTAAAGTTTCTGTTCTTAAAAAAGTTAAAATTTGTTTCAGCCCCAGTTACTCTGATAGCCGTAAATTAAATTCAGCGTGACCCACTTCACTTCACAAGACCTTTTATTGTTTTTATTGAAAATTATGTAAACATAAAGTAAAACAGAAAGGGTTAAAGTGGCAAAGTTTAAAGTACACCAGTGATATTTGTGGAGGAGCTGTAGAAACCCACAATTTTGGTACCAAATCTTCTAACAAGACAAATTGTAGCAATTACTACAATCTCACCTTAATGTAAAAGTGGCCTGACGAGAAACCGTTAATGCTATAAATCTAAGATTTATAGTTTCCTTATACCATGCAGAGGACAGAGCAAACATGTGGAAGATAGTCTATTCAGATTTCAAAACGTTTAACGTTTTATCCTTTACGCAAAGCACCTTGTTTGGAGAAAATTTAGGGTGAACAAAAGCGTGAACATATCTATCCAAATGAAGACTAATCTTCATGAAAGAAAGCCAGCTAAAGCATCGTAAAATCCCAATGAAATAAATCAAAGTTTGAACATGAAACATGACAGAAGGTGAAGGGATATGGCTACTTTTACAAAGCACAGTTAATGAACGGCAAACTTAATTTTAGTCAAGTTCCAATAAGCCAGCTGGAAAATAGATTTGATACATCCATTTAAATTGGACTTTAATGTGTGTAGTTTTTGGTGAAATGGAAAATGTTTGGCCCTTTTTGTGATATAGGATGAGAGGTAGAAAAAAGGAGAGGGAGGAAGAAAGCATCTGCTTTCATCAATACAGTGATTACTGTGCTCCGGTGGTTTCCTTATATGCTTGGTGCTTGTAGATGATGTGGTTATGACCACACTCTCTGGCTTCAGCTTCACTGATGTGTGTGTTTTTGTGTGTAAGTGCGTGTGCTGTTCTGTAAGGCAGACAACCCACAAGTCTGAAACAGGAGACAAAACAACATTCTTTCTTTGTGAGGTGATGAATAATGGGCAACAACAAATATTTGAAAACGAGCCATATTGCAGTTCTTTATTCAGACCGAGATTACAACAACTTATTTGAAGAAGGAAAGGCGATCTGGAGGCAGGATTAAAGCACTATTTTTTGAGGCTCCTGTGATCTCAGGCTTGTAGTTTTCTATATGGACACAGGGGGGGCTGTTGTTCTCTAAAGTGCCAGACTGGTAGGATGTATGGCAAAAATAAGCACAAAGAGGATATTGTTGGCCCCTCCGATTTTATTTCTGAGACATGCAAAACCAGCTAGATTAGACCCATGCTGCAGATGCGCATCGCTCATAGTGGAAAACACCTGCTTCTCTTTAAAACCACAAATCAACAACAGGATTCTGGGCAAGGGTGGATCCTTGTTCATAACCACAGCAATACAGGAACCCATTAGGTTGTCTGTGTAAGAGAATAGAAAGATGAAACACAGAGGAAATAATAAGGAACTGTTGATTTAAAGGTGAGCTGAAGTTATTTAGAATCTGGCCTGAATGGGGAGGATTTGGATGGTAATGATGGGTGTGGGTGGCAACAGCTGAGCACCCCCTTCGCCTGACTGTGTATGCAGTCCCCTGTGCTGCATGCCTGAGCACCTCTCCAGTCTTTCAGCCATCAATCACCACCTTGCCCCCACCTCTTCCTTCTCAACGTTGCTGCCCACCTAATCCTCAAGGTATTTTCAGAGAAACATGCAGCAGAGTGTGAGACACAGAAAGAGAGAGAGAGAGATAGAGAGAGAGAGAGAGAGAGAGAGCACCTGGGGGTAATGTCCCAATGTGGTGGAATCCAGGAACACGCCCTGCAAGAAAAACACACAGATGCACACCGGCAAACAGAGCATCAGAGGCAATCTTCCCACAGATTCTCTTCTGCTCACACACGAAAAAAAAAAAACCCACACACAGAGCACCTCTTTCATCTAAGGACTAGAATCATACCCCCCATAAGCAAAATAAAAAAATCACACCACACTGACAGATGAATTCTTTTTTCTTGCTTTCTTTTTTACACTGGCATGAGTTAAAGCAAAAACAAGTATCAGGCACAAACACACACAGGCAACTACATGCATTGGGTCTTCATACGTGTCTGCTTGTACTGACACATCCACGTTGGCAGCGATCTGGTTCTCAGGGGTGAAAGGGTTGAATTCAGTTAAAACCCGTTGTTAGGGTTGAAAGTAAGATTAAGTCAAGATTACCATAACAGCAAGCCTGAGCTTCTGTATGTATGTATATGTGTGTATATATATATATATATATATATATATATATATATATATATATATATATATATATATATATATATGAGGTTAGGTGGTTCCCTAAATATTTTCTAAAAACATACACTATTTTTATACCATTAAAGAAAAACTCAGTGTAACATACTGTATTCAGAGATCACCTGATGATGTAGTAAAATCTCCTTGTGGGTATTTAATCTCATTATGAATATGAATGCAGCTGTTCTGTAAAGGACCCCATGTGCTTTAAGGGAGCAATAATGAGCAAACGGCATCAAGAAGACCAAGACTCAAGCCCTGTTAAACTGCAGAGATTTACAACTTATGCCTGAGAATCTGTCTACAGATTCCCACTGTAACGTTTGTGTGGTGACAGCATCACACTACAAGGATGCTCTCCTTCAGCAAGGACAGGGTGGCTGTTCAGAATGGAGGGAGAAATAGATGGAGCTAAACACAGAAACATCCTGTAAGAGGATACAAAACACTTGTGGTCAAAAATGTGCCAACATTTACCTTTTACAGGAGAAAAACCTTAGTTAAACATATGAATTTTATATATCCAAGTACATGTTTAAAAAGCCCTAGTCAAAGGCAAGATCTGAATTTAATTATCTTTGGCAAAGCTAAAAAAGATGACAATAGCAGAAACTCTCTGTGAAGTCTGACTCATTTGGAGCTGATTTACACAAAACTATTTAATGACTTAGTCTGTAGATGTAGAGAAACTGTTGGTGACATACATAAATTTGCAGCTGAGTAGCAAGATCTTGGCTCTGGAGACTAAATATTAAAGCACAAAGAAAAAAAAAACCTGACCACATACATCAATTAACCTAAAATGCATGTTTTTAGACTTTTGAAGGGAGCCAGAGTACCCTATACACTTGAACAGATGGGGACATGCAAACTGCAATCTGGGGACATGCAAACTGTTGAGTAATGTAAGAGGAATGTAAAAAACTTTCTAAGAGTATGGGATAAATGGTGAAAAATCTGATTTTCTGTGCATGTTTCATAGATTGTTAAAAAAAGAACATGATCGCTTTAAAAGTATTGTTCTTGCCCTAATCAACAGACAAATTCTGAAAGCTCTAAAACTCCTTAGCACTCCATCACAGCTTCCACTTGAAATTGTGGCGGCTCAGTGGAAAACTTTATCAGCTTTTAAAACATCCCATTGCTGAATCTCTTGACAAGGAATGTTACAAGTCATTTTGCTGACAGCAGTCTCATTCCCTGCTCTCTGAAAGCCTTGCTGGGAAGACAAAAGGACTTAGTCGGGACATTCAACAGACCCTGTTTTTCTTTTCCTTCCACTTTTTTTTCTTGAAAAGTTGTCTCAACAGTCCTGCTTATTGTTTTCAGGCCTGTCTTAAATCCAGACTGAGAAAATACCTTCCATGGGGAGGGCAATGTTTCTTTGACTTTCTGTGCATTTATACAACTACCTTCTTACTCAGCTTCAGAGCATTTCTGCGCTGACCTGTTGGGGCACCTCCGACGACAACACACAGTTTCGGCACCAGAGTGTCTTTGGAAATACCTGTTCTGCACAGGGCTGGGAGGGACAGGGTGGACTGGTTGGCCTTTTTCTGTGTAAATACATAGAGGAAGATGGCCCAGGAAATGTGACTGTTTGAGTGCGCTGCCTGGACTCCCGTCCGTCACTGCTGCCCAAATATCTGAATTAATGTGCTCATCCGTGACGTGGTGTGACGGCTCTTTGTGCAGTTTGTTGCAGACTGTTATCGGTTTAGCCTAGTCATTAAGGGAGCCCTTCAAACAAACAGTTGGAAGTCCATTAAGGCAGCTGACTGTGTGATAACATCGCCACTGAGCCTTGAAACACATCTTTAAGCTTTTGCCAATCAGGGCGAGAGCTGGGGCCCCAAAAGACAGCCACAGGGATGTTTTGAAAAGCTAGTAGGTCATTTCCTTTAGCTCATATAGTCTGGCCTAAAATCTAAACTCCTTCAAAGGGCTCTAAATTTTCATTCACACCATAATTTGTAGGGTTTTGCTAAGTAATAAAACACACAGATAAGAGGCTGAGCTGTGAATGACAGAGAAGTGGAATTAAAAGTGTTATATTAATAGAATGGAATGAAAAGCTTGTTGAAACCTGTACAAAAAGTTGCTCGGCTGGGCCTCTGGTGGAGGCTAGCTGAAAAG